CTTGCCCCAAGCGCCCACACTGATCACGCCTCTATAGACTACAATTCGCCGCGCAAAACTTGCACGGAGATTTTAAGCTTGAGCTCTTCCCGCTTCACTCGCCGTTACTAGGGGAATCCTTGTTAGTTTCTTTTCCTCCGCTTATTAATATGCTTAAGTTCAGCGGGTAATCTTGCCTGATATCAGGTCCAATTGAGATGCATACCGAAGTACACAACATTTCCCAAATGGATCGACCCTCGGCAGCCGAAGCCGCCACTCTACTTCGCAACAGCAAAGCCGATTCAAATGCCAAGCTAAAGAGCCATGGTTCACCAGTCCATCACGCCACAGCAGGAAAATCACCCAATAAGCGCATTGTTCAGCCGAAGCCAACCATACCACGAATCGAGCATTTCTCCATTAACGCCGCAGCAGACAAACCGGTCGCCAACTCGCTACAATAGCAGCGTCCACAAACAGCAATGCCACCACTTTTGGAGCAAAGAGAAGTACAGTTTAGTACATTTAAAAGGACTCGCAGTCGGTCCGAAAACCAACCGCAAGACACTTCACATCTGGCATCTCCTCCACCGACTACACGGAAGGAAGAAAGCCAAGTTTGTTGTACGGACACTGATACAGGCATACTTCCAGGACTAACCCGGAAGTGCAATATGCGTTCAAAATTTCGATGACTCACTGAATCCTGCAATTCGCATTACGTATCGCAGTTCGCAGCGTTCTTCATCGATGTGCGAGCCTAGACATCCACTGCTGAAAGTTGCTATCTAGTTAAAAGCAGAGACTTTCGTCCCCACAGTATAATCAGTATTAAGTAAAGGGTTTAAAATAAAAAAGCTACTAGCTCAGACCGAAGTCCAAACGCTCGCCTTTTGATAGGGCTCGCCAGCAGTAGCCGCCAGCAATAAAGCCAGCAGCCGCCGCCAAGTAAGACCCCCAACTATTGGGTTGAAACGGTTCACGTGGAAAGTTTTTAGGTGTGGTAATGATCCTTCCGCAGGTTCACCTACGGAAACCTTGTTACGACTTCACCTTCCTCTAAATGGCGAGGTTTAAAAAAGTTCCCATCAATCCACTCGCAATAAAGCAAACAGACTCACGGTCCCAATTTTTCACCGAGTCATTCAATCGGTAGGTGCGACGGGCGGTGTGTACAAAGGGCAGGGACGTAATCAATGCAAGCTGATGACTTGCGTTTACTAGGAATTCCTCGTTCAAGACTGAAAATTGCAACAGTCTATCCCTAGCACGATGCGCATTCACAAGATTACCCAGACCTATCGATCAAGGTTGTATACTCGTTGAACGCATCAGTGTAGCGCGCGTGCGGCCCAGAACATCTAAGGGCATCACAGACCTGTTATTGCCTCCAACTTCCTTTGGTTTGATTACCCAAAAGTCCCTCTAAGAAGTCCACAAACCTACCAAAAATGGTAAGCGGAACTATTTAGCACGCGGAGGTCTCGTTCGTTAACTCACGTCTGCTTGCGAAGTACTGCTCGGTAGCAAAGATCCACAATTCAATGTCTTTACCATACTTTCTTTCATACATCAGATGGTCTTTCTTCTTCTGTTCACCCCTAGCGGCAAGGAGATATTCGAATCTCGCATTAGCTTGTTGCATTTAGGCTTGTGTTTGCATACATCTGATCTTGATACTACTGTTGCCGCTGCGTTATGTATACTAGCAGATGCTGCATGGACATGGTCTCAGGTCCAGCCGCATCTTGAGCAGTATCAGTAGCAGGAGAGGCTGAATCAGCCGGTGCATTGGGACTGGCCCCTTCACTTGACGCCTGCGATCTTGTATTTGTTCGCATCGTGGGTTGAGAAGCTTCAGCGTCGCTCGGAGCACTAACACGGCTCTGGTGACGAGGACGAGGGTTTGGTGACGGGCGCTCTGCTGCACGACTCCTTCTTTGAGCCATTGCAAGCTGGACTTCTCAGCGCAAGTCTCTTAAGATACCAGAGCCCTAACCCGAAGTTAAACGAAGCCAAAAAACGTTCCGATCAATGTTCTTTCCTACAATCTACGTTTCTTGTCTACGTAGATGGAGTGATCAAAAGATCCTTCAAGAATTTCTTGGGTTTGTTCAATACGTTTCTTGAGCAATTTACTGAAGTCGTGAATGACGTTCCGGGTGGCAGCGTCCTTAGAATCCGGAATTTCGTTTCGGATGAGGCGGACGAGCTTAAGTTGCTTTACCGCTGTTAGCCACAAGTCCAGACGAAGCTGATAGAGCTGCTTGTGTCGATCAGTCAAGGACTTTGTGCTGTTTACACACGGATCTTCGGGTTGGCGAGGCTTTCGCTTACCCATAAATAAGCACACTGAAACAGATGCAGTACCAACGGATGTAGATCAAGAACAAACAGTGAGCATCTAATCGGATGTTCACTCCGTTAATATCTGATGCGGAACTAGGATCCACGTAAAACGTGAAAGCGTTAAGCCGCAGGCCACCAGAAAGGGTTTCCGATTGTGTGTACCACACTAGTGCGCAACTACACCAACAAGTCACTGAACGTTACCGTTCGTGGTGAGGCAGCTATGTGGCTGGCACCAATATCTCAGGACAGCTCGTTTTTAGATATGCCACCACGAATGCCCGACTTGAACCGAAGCTTGACACGACCAGTGCTACTATGTCACGAAGTAGCGAGGAAGTGTAGGAGCGGAGACGGCGAGTACGGTGCCGTAGACAGTTGTAGGGGAGGAGAGGAGTTGCTGCTCGAAAGCAGATTGAGAAGTGATTAATCAGTTAGAGTTGGCGGCAGCAAGCTAGTAGCTGCCGCACAACCAGTAGTTCCAGACAACTGGATACTCACGGAGATATCCAGGTCCCATCCCAAAACCTATCTTTATCAAATCCTAATTTTCTCTGTAACTACCAATGAAAGTCTATGAATTCTAATTCTTATCTTGGTCGTAAATTTCGCACAGCGCCCCATAATCATAATTTCCGGATAAAAGCTTGATTCTTGCGAATCCATGGGATTTTGGACCAATATGATCGCAGTATGATATAAAGACACGCAATCTTAAAAAAGAATAAGTTTACGCATATCAGAATAATCTGACCAGTCGAACTGGCTGGTCGCTCCCATGGCATTGCCCACTGACCACCACGTCACATACTGTACATCGCTAGCGTTTCTGCAGATTTAGAGCACTCACGTTGTACGTTTCCGACGCACGTTCGCGGTAGAAAGCTGTACGTTCCTCGGCAGCTACGGGCATGGCGTTGTTGAAGCCGATGATTCCCAGGAAGAGCGAGCTCACGAAGACCAGACCCACCCCAGCGTTGGTGCCTGTGTACGTGGTGT